GTGTGTACACATGTGTATGTATACACACACACACCTGCCGTACACTTTAGAAGAACGCTTCTCTTCTATTCCAATAAAAAGCCCTTTTAGCAAAGCAACATAGTAACAAGATTGGGTGCATTCAGGGTGGTATGGCCATAGACTAGAGCAACATATTGAAATGTGTACATATGTACTAGCTAAAGTCTCTTTATGCGTCAGTATTCAGAGTAATGTGTAGCCAGATTACTTAAATCTCAGAATCACTAAGCATCTGGCATAAATTCAGAGAAAATAATGACTAGAAAAATTAGTGTTATATTCGGTGTGAGAAAAGACTGTCTTGAAAGAATTATCAAAGCTGATACAGCACATATATAGAATTAGCCAAACGGTATAAGACAATAGAAAAAGGCTGTGGATTCTTTGAGGACATCATTATAAATCATTCTTTGTCTCAAGTTCACACTCTTAGCATAGAATATTATTGACCAGGATGTGTGTTATTTTGAGCTCTTAACTGTGAATGGCATTCATTAAGCTCCTTTATCCTATAGATTCTACCTTTATGTTACCTGAAATGAACTATTCATCAGTACTTTTTCCTCCCATCCTAAGCTTCTCATTTTAGGAACTGACATGATAATGTGGTTCTTTCATAACTCTAATGCCATCCAGCATAGCCCTGGGAGAGGCATGTTAGGTTTCAAAGATTTTCTCCGTGGAGCAAGATGCAGTGCTAGAATATGGTGGTTGATTCCCAAACAGAGCAGTTAACTTTACTGTTGGTTCTGAGTCTCCAGATAATAATAACCGACATTTATTGAGCACTTACTGTGTGCCCAACCCTGTTATGCCTTTCTCAGGCTCATAATAAGTGTATTAGTCTGTTCTCATGCTGCTAATAAAGAGACATACCTGAGACTGGGTAATTTATAAAGGAAAGAGGTTTAATAGACTCACAGTTGCATGGCTGGGGATGCCTCACACTCATGGTGGAAGGCAAGGAGGAGCAAATCATGTCTTATACATAGATGGCAGCAGGCAAAGAGAGAACTTGTGCAGGGGAACTCCTCATTATAAAACAGTGTGATCTCATGAGACTTACTATCACAAGAACAGCACAGGAAAGTTCTGCCCCCATGATTCAATTATCTCCCACTTGGTCCCACCCACGACACGTGGGAATTGTGGGAGCTACAATGCAAGATGAGATTTGAATGGGGACACAGCCAAACCATATCAGTAGGTATTATTTTATCCCCCATTTTATAGATGAGGAAACGGAGGCTTAGAGAGTTGAGTGAGTTGACCAATATCACACAGCCAGTATGTGATAAAACTGACTCTGACCCACACAGTTTGATTCTAGACTAGAGCCTGTGCTTCTGACTACTGTGCTATGCTGTGTATAATGTACATGGTAATCTAGTCAGCTGTTTAAAAATATGTAGCCCTTGTCATGAGAGGTACTGGGGAAGAGAATATGCAGTAGAGTGCAAATACATTAGAATTACTGGTAAATTGGTTGAAAATGCCCTTTGGGGTTATAGTTATATCATTTTTAAGTGCTGATGCTTTGTAGTACCATAAAACTAAATTGTGCAAACAAAACATATTTAACAGAGTAACTGGGAGGATAAAGCAATAATAAATTCAAATATAATTTTTCTCTAAACTGCCAAAGGGAAAGTAGAATTGTGGAGGGAAATGAAATATCCATGTACCAGGCCAGGCAGATGGTCAGTTAGGATAACAATAGTAAGTTCATCTGCAGCATAAAATGTGAAATGCTTTCAACCTCATTGCCCATTTCTAACTACCATTCTATTTCTCCTCTGTTGTTCATGGTTTTTCAAACATGTCTTCCGCTTTTCAACCCCCCTTTTTCTTTAATCTGTTCTTAAAACTACTTCTTGCTGGCTTTCATACTTAGCATTCCAGTGAAATGATCGTAGACTCACCAGTGGACAAATAGTAAGGCCTTTTTTTTTTTTTTTAAATGTCCCTTTTGATCTAATTTATATTTTATATTGTTGAATTCTCCCTCCTTTGGCTTGTGGGAACCTTTTTCTCTAATATCTGGCTTTCTTTTTTTGACTGATCTTTCCACCCACTCCCCCTTCTCTTCTCCGCTGAGAATAATCTCCCTGTCTATTATTCACTTTATTTTCTATACTCCTGTTTATCCATTTTGATTGTTTATACCTACTATTTGTATTCGAATGACTTCATTTTTCCCACCCTGTGGGTCAGTTTGTGACTTTTGGAATTTTCCACAGGTACCTGTACAACTTGATATTTGAAAACAGGATTCATCACCATATATCGCCAACCCCTGTTTTCTTTTTAAACAGGCCTCATTGCCTAATTCCTTTGCCCTGAAAAGTGTCACCACCTTTCATATTTTTACCCCAGCCTTGGAGTTATCTTTTTCTGCTCTCCATTCTCCATGTCCAAAAACTTACTGTCAGTCTAGTTTTTAATCAGTTTTCTCCTTGAGGCTTGATCTCCCATTTCTCACATCCCATTATAGCCTTTCTTGTAGATCTGAGGCCCAGGTTACTGTAATTCTTTTTTTTCCAATTTCCTTGCTCCCAGGATCCCCATCTTGTATAAAGTTTCCAAGGTGGTCCTCTTCAAACTCCATTTTTACAATATCTGTATTGTAAAATTTTCATTTTCACTAAGTAACACCCAGTAGGTAATTTTTCCAAGGCAATCCTCCTCAAACACCTGTTTTTTACAATATCTCTATTGTAAAATTTCATTTTCACTAAGTAACACCCAGTAGGTAATTCCTATGGAGCAGTGGTGTTCCAAATTCTCCATTACCTCTATGCTTAATATTCATCAGCCTTCATTACTCTCTAGCATATTCACCTTGATTCAACAGATTCAAACTTCCTACAGCCTTCTACTGATGTCTTACAAGCTCTTGCCTCTGTGCCTTTCTCATGCTATTCTTTTTGCTTAGATTGCTCTTTGGTCCCAGCTCATGTTCATCACTCCCTTCAAAGCTTATCTTTATATCTTCTGAGTTAGCTCTCCCTGATTGACATCACCTTATGTGGTGACCTCCCTCATTCTGTGCTGCCTCAGCACTTACCTTTGAGTTTATACTGTGGTCCATGTACTTATATGTTGCTTTGTAATTATTTTCTAGCACTCTGTGTTATAGTTTCATATTTGTATTTATTTCCAAAATTAAATTGTAAGCTCCTTGAGGGCAGGAATAATAACTTTTACATTTGTATCTCTGCACCCCCGAGTGCCTAGTATAGTGCTGAGCACATAGTAGGCGTTTAATAAATGCTTGTTGAAGTATTGTGTGGATTATTTGTGGTGTTATCTACAGAAATTTTTAAGCTGTTTTCAACAATGTGTCTTACCACTTTGGGTGCTCAAAAATGTACAGACCTATTTTCATATGCTAGTATAGTATGTCAGGATCTGCCTCTACCTGAGTAAGGCCAAAAAAATTCAACTTTAGGAAATTATGTATAAAAAGCTGAAGCTTTCCATTTGGCCAGCCTTATTGGTCAAGAAAGAAAATAAGAAGCACTAAGACTATTGTGTTAAGGTTATAATTTCAAAAGTGCTTGAGAATAGGCTTTGGTATATGAGATTAGTGATTGTCTTTGGGAGAAATTTGGCAATGTTTGGGGACATTTTTGGTCATACCATTGGTGGGCAGCTGGGATGTTACTGGCCATCTAGTAGGTAGAGGCTGGGGATGCTGCTAAGCATCATGTTTGCACAGGACAACCCCACCCCCCACATTGCCCTGCCCCTGCCCCTGCCCCCGCCCCACAAAGAATTATCTGGCGCAAAATCCTTAATGCTGAGGTTGCGAGATTTGATATATTTAAGGTAAATAGGAGAAAGAGATATGAAGTACTGGCAATACAATTAGAAAAAGTAGCTATTCCAAGCTTTAAGAGAATCCTAAGTGTGTGCATATTTTGTGGTGTTTAAGACTACAAAAGAAAAAGAAGACTTAGTGTTTGGCATTCACAGCAACATATGTCAGGGTATTGAGAAACAATAAAGTTATTGATGATGTTTTAAGGTTGCTTTCAGCATCAGATCTGCCATCATCTCTATGCCAAGTGTTTCAGCATACAAGTGTTACAGAAGTACTAGTTTTAGTCTTCCACATCTTGATTCATTATAGCATCAACAGTAAAATGCTGGGGGCTGTCTCTTTAGCAGAGGGGCTATAACATCAAAGATTTATCCTTGAGGTCAACGTACGACCCTCAGTCCCTTGGACAGCCACTAGGCAGGAATTACCAGCACACCAAGGAAACCACAAGCCAGAATATTGTCAGTTTGCCAAGTAAAACCATTCCAGCTTTACTTGTTTTTAACATAGTTTTTAACATACTGTGTTAATCCTATTTAGGAAGGCAAATATGTAGGAGGAAATGTGATTTCCTAAATTAAATCGTTAAAAAGTAGGCCTTTAGAAGCACTAGCTTCCTTTTGCCGTTCAGTGGTACTTAATCCAGCAGGTTTAGAAAGGTTCAACCCCTGGGTGCAGTGGCTCATGCTTGTAATCCCAGCACTTTGGTAGGCCAAGACAGAAGGATTGCTTAAGGCCAGGAGTTCAAGAGCAGCCTGAGCAACAGCAAGACTGTCTCTAAAAAAAAACTTAAAAAATAAAAAAATTAATCAGGTGTAGTGGGATGCGTCTGTAGTCCCAGCTGCTCAAAAGAATATGGTGGGAGGGGCCGGGCGCGGTGGCTCAAGCCTGTAATCCCAGCACTTTGGGAGGCCGAGGCGGGTGGATCACGAGGTCAGGAGATCGAGACTGTCCTGGCTAACATGGTGAAACCCCGTCTCTACTAAAAATACAAAAAACTAGCCGGGCGTGGTGGCGGGCGCCTGTAGTCTCAGCTACTTGGGAGGCTGAGGCGGGAGAATGGCGTGAACCCGGGAGGCGGAGCTTGCAGTGAGCTGAGATCACGCCACTGCACTCCAGCCTAGGAGCACAGCGAGACTCCGTCTCAAAAAAAAAAAAAAAAAAAAAGAATATGGTGGGAGGATCCCTTGAGCCCTTGCAGTGAGCTGTGATTATGCCACTGGGCGACAGAGGTCTCAAAAGTTCAACCCAAGTTAGAAAATCAGTTTAAATGTGTAATACACCAAAGAAATAACTGCTTGTTCTGTCATATTTAAATATTCATAGTCTAGAATGCTAAGTTTAGTGTTCCAATCCATTATTCTGTAAATGGAGGCTCAAAGAGGCCACTTGGTTAGGTTTCCTGGGGCTTTGCCCATTCTCCCTAGTTATGCTCTCAGATGTGACCCTTGTATATTCTTAATTCATGCTCTGCCATAAGATGGATTCAAACTTTGTGCCTCCACCTCTAATGTTTTGTTTTACGAATTACTCCTTTTATCAGCTTTATGTTCAAGCCAGTATATTTACTGACTACAGTGTTTTGAGTTAAATTCTTTCATAAATAATTGAATAGCCGGAGAAATTTTGCAGTATCGCAGTCATGTTTTGAAAAGATTGCTCTTGGTTCTTGTCTCTAATCTTTGAGAAAGCACACAGGATATAGTGTGTTGGCTTTCAGATCACTAATAAGACCAGATTTCTGTGGCCCCGTTTGTCGGTTTAAGAGATCCTGTAGGGCCCACACGAGATATTTCACCAGCTGTACTATCTTTAAATTCCAACATACACGGGTGGTCCTGCCCTGGATAAAACTCAGGAAGCAAAAACAACCGTCGGGAGAGGTGAGGTAGGAAGTCATAGCATTGCCGACGGTCCAGAGCAAATCGCTCCCGGTCTAGACCCCGCCCGTACCACAGCCTGGACAGGTTGAGGTTTCAACCCCAGTCTGGCAAACTCGGGCACAGCCAGGCCCCGCCCAGAGATTTCCGGGGCACGCCCCGGAAGTGCTGAGAGGGACTTCCTCCCTGCGGCGAGGCCTCGGAGCTGGCTGCTTCGCACAGGCAGAGAAAGGCTGGTATGCATCTGGGTGCCGCTTGGGTGGGTGTTGCACAGCTGCAACCCCTCAGACCTCCTCTCTCCGCGCCTGCCTGGGTGGAATGTGAGCAGGAACCCCAGGAGAGGCAACCCCTCCTGGGACAGTGGGGATTGTATCCAAATGCAGTCTTCCGGGAAAGGGTTTTTCCTCGAGATTTAGTGCTGCAGGGGCCCAGAGTTTGGACTACTTCCCTTTCAGTTACAACCCTGGTCTTTACTGCCGTCTTCAGAACTTCATTGAGTACCAACTACAAGTGTGCTTCTGGTACCAGTTGGTATCACTGCCCACCAGATCTTCAGCTTTTTCAAACAAAAGGGGGAAATTGCAAAGAATTGGAAATAAGTGTTCGGTGCTCTAAATTCAGGAGAGGCTTGTTCCACCACTTAATTGTCCCCGTGACATTTCATTTTGAATGCAGAATTCGTTCTCTCTGTACTTCAGCTTGGCAGTAAATGGCTACCCTTCCCTTTAACAGTCACCTCCATCCACGCCAGGACCACCTTACAGCACCCTTAATGCTGTTCTCTCATGAGCCCTTCCACTATCCCAACCAGTGCTCAAAGGCAATGGGAAAGATTACCACTGCAGACCTGCTGCCCCAGCATGTGATCTGAGAGCCCTTTGCAAATTAGCTCCTTATTTAGCATTGCACTTCTTTCCCCCCAAAACCGTTAGTAGTGTAACACCTATGGCAATCTTTGCTTTTTCTTTGAGTAAAATAATTTTTCTTTTACAGAAGTGTTCTTGAAGACTCTTCAATTACAGGAAAAGACGCTTGACTGCATCTTTAGAGGAGTTGGTTTCGCTGGTTCCAAGGATTCTGTTAATGAGAAAACTCCACAGGCCAGCATTCTGTAAGCTGACTCCAGCAGTCCAGTTGACAGTGGCTGAGGCCAGTTCCTGATCATCCTATCTGAGGAACACCAGGTCTGGGAGAGGGAGCAGCACTGACCAGGGGAGGGAGGAAGGATTTTCCTTGGGGAAGTGGCTAAGCTGGATGATTTCAAGGAATTGAGTGAATCCAGACAGCAGGTGGGGAGAGATACTATCAAGTTATCTTAAAACTTTTGGTCCCTTAGGGATTCTTCCCTTTTTTCCCCTACTTTTTAAGCACGTAAGTCAGAAGCCAGACTAACTGTGATTTTGTCCAAGTCATTTTATCTTTCTGTGCCTATATGCCATCTGTCAATGGGGATAGTAAAAGCACCTGTCTAGAGTTGTTATGAGGATTACATGAACAGTACCTGCTACATAGGAAGTGCTATCCAGGTATTTGTTGTAATTATTTCTTACTCTCCTTACCTCCCTGGGATTAGCTTGTTCTGCTGATTTATTCATTTCTACAGCGATTCTTTCATAAACTCATGTGTTTATTTTTTTTCTGGCCCCAGCTCTTGGATACAGTCAGGAAGTAGGCAAGAAATGCCAGCTCTGGAAGCAGAGGGAGAATAAGATATTCTCTAGTGCCATCCAGGAATATGCCACTGAGGTGTCAATGACAGACTCTTCCCTCTACAGAATAGTTGTGCTAAACTTGGCGTTTTGTGGTCTTCTGGGGATTCTGGAAGTAAGGGACCTGAGGAGACTTTAAAACAACTGCTATAGGATAGGATCAGGATAAGTGAGTTGTGAATGCTTAGCAGAGTCTGATTAAGTTCAGAGTGAGACTGGAGCAGGAGAGAATACAGCTCAGATCTGCCATTTCCACGTTTTTTTATCGTTCAGGAGCTTCATCTTGGCTGCCAGTTTTCAGAAATAGAAATTGTAACTGTATTTCCATTTTTTTTGTCTTTGACTTTGCTTAAAGTGCTTTTGTTTGTTTGTTTTACCTCACAGGAGTTTTTATTCTATGTGGGCCAAGTTTATCAATCTTTTCATTAATGACCTCTGGATATTGTCTCATAGAGGGGGGAGTTTCTTTTTTGAGATGGAGTCTCGCTCTGTCACCTAGGCTGGAGTGCAGTGGTGCGATCTCTGCTCACTGCAACCTCCGCTTCCCGGGTTCAAGCAATTCTCCTGCCTCAGCCTCCTGAGTAGCTGGGATTACAGGCATGCACCACCACGCCCAGCTAATTTTTGTATTTTTAGTTGAGATGGGGTTTCACCCTGTTGGTCAGGCTGGTCTCAAACTCCTGACCTTGTGATCCACCCACCTTGGCCTCCCAAAGTTCTGGGATTACAGGCGTGAGCAACTGTGCCCGGCCAAGAGGAAGGCCTTTCTATTCTGAGGTTATAAAGGACTCACCTCATGTTTTCCTCTGGTACTTTTATGGTTTCATTTATAACATTTAAAACTGGTTTATTTGGAATATATCCTAGTTTATAGAGTAAGGTAGAAATCTAATTTACCATCTTTCCAGATGGTTATCCAGTTCTCACCATGCATTTGAAGAGTTCACTTTTTTTTTTTAACTTATTTGCTACCTTTATTGTATGCTAAATGTATGTGCCTATTTCTGAGCCTTCTGTACCATTTTCATGAGTACTACACACTTTAAGTATTAAGGGTTTGTAATATGTAAGTTCTTTAGGACAATTACCCTTCTTTCTCAGTTTCCCCAGGTAGTCCTGCATGTTTAGTCTTCTAGGTGAACATTAAAATCTTCTAAAAAGTTGATATTTTCATGGAAATAGTGTTGAATTTACAAATTAATTTGGAGATTACTCTCTGAGTACTAACCCCTGTGGAGCCATAAAGTGGCTTAATCTGAGAAGCAAGCCCTAGATTGAAATTTCATCTTGGCTGTTTTAACAGGTGCCTGACCTCGGAAAATTTATTTGCTTCTCAGTTTTTATATATATGCGAGAAGGACTTGAATGTCTGCCCTGTAGGATTAAATGAGATAAAAAGCATAAAATGCCTTCTTGGAGTAAGCGATCCTTTCTTCACACGGTCCGTTCTGGCCAGCTCACAAACCACTGAGAGGGAAGCCTCCAGGATCCTAGAGTAGATGACCAGATGCCCAGGCGCGCAATCTGTGGAAGTGAAAGTCAAGCTTTCTAGGCCAACAGCTGTCCTCAGTCGCTTGGTCAGATAGTCTAATCGCAGTTTTTCAGGTGAGTTCCCTCTTGACTTTCTTCTAGGGTTTTGCTTATGCCCTGGGGTGGACACCCTCGGGGGATGGGAGAAACTATGTACTGTGCCAGGTCGCCTCAGGCCTGCCTTTTCTCTCCATCCTTCCCCACCCCTCCCCTCTTCCACCCACTTTCTCACACTCCTCCTCTTTTCTCTTTCCTCCCTTTTCCTCCCTCTCCATCATCCTCCCTCTTATATTTCTTTCCCTTCACTACCCCATCTCCTGCCTGGCCCTTCTGCACTGGCAGAGTAGACCCTCAGAAACCCTGGGAGAGAGGATGGCTGGGGCAGGCTGATGTCTTGAGTCCTGTCCTTGGCTGTCTCTGAGGCTCTTAAAACTCCTAATTAGAGGAGTGACTCCGACTTGCTTTTCTGACAGGGCTACATTTGCGAGAGTGGGGTGCAGGTATGGAGACCTTATTTTCTGTTGGTCTGGATCCTCAGTTCTGCTTTGTGTTAGTTTTTGTTGGTAATGTTGTTGTTTGTTTGTTTTGTAGAATATCATTCAATTGGGATTTAACTGTTTTTGTCATTATTATACTGAGGTTATACATTCTGGGGAGGAAGGCCACAAAGTTGAAGTGCCATTCTCATCATATCAAGGGTGCATACTGTTAACTTATAACTGTCGAGACATAAAACAGTTTGTAAGGTGGAAAAAAGCAGAGAGGTAATTAGTGTAATTTGAGTTGGAAGCAAAAATTTTATCAAGTTTGGACACAAAACTAGGTTTGTTCCCAAGAAAGTAGCAGCCATCCATTTTCTTTGGAGAGGTGAAGGGTTTATTCTGTCACAATGCCAGCAGAGACAAAGCATCCCTGTTGCTGAGATACTGTTTATCATAGCAACAACAGCTGCAGAATTAGTAGTGGCATAGCAATGAACAGAGCTTTTTTCGTCCCCATGTCTCTCTTCCATCTCAAGTAGTATGGACTCCTGTGGGTGGTAAAACATACCTGTTAATGGTGTTATTGTCATTTTTCCAAACTTCTTATCAGTTGAATTTGTTTCTATTGCCATTTCTATTCCCATACTCCTTCATCTGCTCTATCTGCAAATCTCTTGAGTTTCTGTCTTGTTTTCCAATTTAATTAAATATGATTCGCCTTTAAAAGTAGGAACTATATATTATTTTTATATTTATTTATATTCCAGATTGTATGTGTATGTTTTAGATGCCTTTATAGAGGATATTTTATTTATTCATATATATACCATATACACCTAGTATATATTTTTTTTTTTTGTTTTTTTTTTTTTGAGACGGAGTCTTGCTCCTGTGCCCCAGGCTGGAGTGCAGCTGCGCGATCTCGGCTCACTGCAAGCTCCACCCCACCCGGGTTCATGCCATTCTCCTGCCTCAGCCTCCCGAGTAGCTGGGACTACAGGCGCTGCCACCTATTTTTTGAGACAGGGTCTTGCTCTGTTGCCCAGGTTGGAGTGTAGTGGCGTGATCACAGCACACTGCAGCCTCAATCTCCCAGACTCAAGTGATCCTTCTGCCTTTGCCTCCCAAGTAGCTGAGATGATAGGCGTGTGCCATGAAGATATATTTAAATAGCCGTTTGAGTCAGATATTCATTCCAGCAGTTCTTTGATGTTACTGAGACATGATACAGGCTGAATGAAAACATTTTATGTGAGTGCCATGTGATTGGCGTGTCCTGGGATTACTGAACGTGTTTGAGAGCTCTAGTCTATATCATATTATATTGCTTTAGCAACAGGAATAAAACACATTTCAAAGGTCTGTTTATTATTTTAGGATTCAAGGCCAGAGGTGTGAACAAGGTGTCAACTCTGAAGGGCTGAAGGGAAGGTTTTTCTAAGGATGGACCCACACCAGAAGGTCCCTAGCATATATAATGGGGATACTTTACAGACTCCTGAGTATGAAAAAATCTCTCAGTATGAGGACCAGTTAGAAAGGCATGAGGGTAGGCGCATGGAAGAAAGACGGTATAAATGCATTGATTGTGGAAAAAAGTTTGCCCAGAGCTCAGGCCTTGTTCGACATCAGAGAATCCACACTGGAGAGAAACCCTATGAGTGTGATCACTGTGGAAAAGCCTTTAGCGTGCGCTCAACCCTTACTGTGCATGAAAGAATCCACACTGGTGAGAAGCCTTATACTTGTAATGAGTGTAAGAAAGCCTTCAGTGTAAGGGCACACCTGATTATACATCAGAGAATCCACAATGGAGAGAAACCCTATGAATGTAATGAGTGTGGCAAAGCATTTAGTGTGAGCTCAGACCTTATCAAACACCAGAGAATCCATACTGGTGAGAAACCTTATGAGTGTGATGAGTGTGGAAAAGCTTTCAGTGTGAGCTCAGCCCTCATCAAGCATCAGAGAATCCATACAGGAGAAAAGCCGTATGAGTGTAAGGAATGTGGGAAGGCCTTCTATGTGAACTCAGCACTTATTAATCACCAGAGGATTCACTCTGGAGAAAAGCCCTATGAGTGTGGAGAGTGTGGAAAAGCGTTCAGCCAGATCTCAACCCTTATTCATCACCAGAGAATCCATACTGGAGAGAAACCATATGAGTGTGAAGAGTGTGGGAAAGCTTTCCGTGGGAGTTCTAATCTTACTAAACACCAGAAAATACATGCCAAAGAAAAGTGTCATCAGTGATTTATGTGGCAAATATATTCCAAAGGGCTTTTGTTACATCAGAAGATACCATCGAAAGAAGAGTATGGTTAAACTTAATCCCTTAATTGACACTTCATCCTTGAAATACTGAAGTGAGAAATCACTGAAAAGTAACTCCATCAGCATTGTTTCTAAGGCTCTAAAATCACATCTACTTCTGAGAATGTAATTTTGCAACTCATAAGGTAAAGCCATTTAAAAACCATATAGTATATAATGTAGTTTATGTTGGCTTAGAGCAAACTAGCAATTCAAACATTTTCCTCTTATGAGCAAGCCTTTTGTTGTTGTTTTGTTGCTGTTGGTGTTATAGATAAAACATTAGATTTTGACATTGGAAGCAATTGGTGAGAGAGGAAGGACATATCCTTAGTTGAATCTGGAAAATACCAACCCATTTATCTTTCTTTGCCTTTGATGTACCACTGTGCTCTTAGGATGATTAGATGTGTTTGTGACTTCTTGGCAGAAGGTAGAGCATCTTTTTAGGTAGGAAACCCAACAGATAATTTTTCAGGGAGATTCTTGCATAGTCAAAAAGCCTTAAACCTTTTTTGACTTACTGACTCAATAAGCTTTTGAGTTTGACTGAGGTTCCTCAACCAACGCAAACAAAACAAAGACAAAAACTTCCCGAGGAGATTTAAGTATTTCTGACTTCTGACCCTTGCTCATAGCTGATCATAGCTCACTGCTGTGTGTGGTGTCGTATATGCAAAGGCTCAGAGATATAATAATGGGACATTTGGGGAATTTTCAAGGTTGGTGTTGGTTTTAGGATGACTATTGAAGCTTGATACCTAATGTCAACCAAGAATACTCAGATTTGAGAGGTGAGTTTGATTTTGAAAATGTTTTGCTTTGTCTATGGGAATCCCACTAGAGCTGTCCACCAGACCATGATCTCACTTCCTAACCCTAATCTCCAAAGCCTGTATTTGCACATGTGAAACTCAGGAGAGAAATCTGGACTTTAAAATTACTTTGTTACTATTTTTCTTTCCTTTTTTTTTTTTTTTTCCTTTTGAAGCAGGATCTTGCTGTATCATCCAGGCTGGAGTACAGTAGTGTGATCCCACCTCACTGCCGCTTCAGCTTCCTGGGCTCAAGTGATCCTCCCATCTCAGCCTCCCAAATAGCTGGTTCTACAGGTTTGCACCACCATGCCTGCTAATTTCTTATTTTTTGGAGAGACAAAGTCTTACTATGTTACCCAGGCTGGTCTCCACTTCCCCTGCTCAAGCGATCCTCCCGCCTTATCCTACCTAAGTGCTGGAATTACAGGCATAAGCCACCAGGTTAGGCTGTTTTTCTATTTTAACAGTGATTTCTCCCTCGTGAGTAATAGTCCTGAAATTTTTTATTCCTGAAATTTAATTAATGTGAGGTTCAAGATGAATATGCCAAAATGATAGAAATTACAGATAGCTTTGGTGGTTCACATTTGGAAGAGATTATAGAGAACGCTCTCTGGGAAGGTGAAATGTTGTTCACTTCTCAGAAAGAGGCTCTGTGTTTTAAAGGGATGCACAGTTTCCATGAATTATCCTAATCAGCACTTCAGGCAAGTCAGCTGTAAAACACACTGGACCTCATGAAGCTCTGAGCCAACTTGTGATCAGAAGGCACTAAGGTCAGAGATGCATGTGGAAAAGCACATGATGAAGCCTCTGGTATTGGAGTAGTGCCTACAGCCCTGCCCAAGGCCTGGATATGGGGATTGAAGGCAAAGAAGATCATGGTTCTGGAGCTCACATTGAGGAAATGTACCTTACTCAGGGAATTGGGCACATTAGAGAAGTTAAAACACATACTGTACTGGCCATCAGAGAAATGCAAATCAAAACCACAATGAGATACCATCTCACACCAGTTAGAATGGCAATCATTAAAAAGTCAGGAAACAACAGGTGCCTGGAGAGGATGTGGAACAGAAATAGGAACAGGCACACTGTTCACGGCGGCGTTTGCGCTCGCGGAATTGTAAACTAGTTCAGACCCATTATGGAAAATCTCAGTATAGGCCGGATTCCTCAAGGATATAGAACCTAGAGTACCATCATGCCAGCAATCCCATTACTGGGTATCTAATACCCCAAAGGATTTCAGACAGTCCTATAAAGAACACATGCACACTATGTTTATCTTGCAGCACTATTCACAAATAGCGGAGAGACTCTGGAATCAAAACCCAAATGTCCATCAGTGACAGATTGGATTAAGAAAATGTGCACATTAATACACCATGGGAATACATGCCAGGCCATAAAAAAGGATGAGTTTGTGTCCTTCTGCTCGGGACATGGATGCACATTCTTAGGCAGACTATCACAAGCAAGAAACGACTGTCTAATTCATGCAGGTGGAAACTGAACATGAGTCACTTGACTCAGAAGGGAAATTCACACAGGACGGGGGGGGCCTATCATGGGAGGGGGGACGGGCGGGAAATGGGGTGTGCATTGGGAGTTATACCTGAATGAAACGACGAGTTGATGGTGCAGCAACTGGGTATAACGATTCCACAAACCTGCCATGTTCAGCCACCATGTCCCGACAACTTAAAGCTGTAAACTAATAATAATATAATTAAAAATTTAAACAAAAAAAAAAACCACAACATACTGTACTTATAGCAGAAGTGAAGGGCTTCAAGAAGTTCTCTTTGCATTGCTGACTTCATGTGTGAATTCTTTTGCCCTGCTTCTTCCTGTCTTTGGCAATTGAAGGAGACTAGGTTTTCCTTTGTTTGACCTGTCACCCCATTTCTGTGCTGTTATCTTCAATGTTTTTAATGTTTACCTTTCTAACCCCAGCTATCTTGGTTTGTTTCTAGAATGGAGGTTTACAGACAGTCATCTGGGTGGAGGACACCCTTTTGGAATCAGCACTGAATGTGATACCATATCCCACTCCAAACCAGCACAACTATAAATACTAAGCAGTGAGTGGTATTCTGAAGACTTTGAAGGAGGAGCTATTTCTGAAAATAAATTTATTTTGTTGAAGAATTTAACCATTAAGCAGTCAGGATATGTATACTGTGGTTATTCCTTTTGAGCTCAAAGTAAGGTACTAGTGATTATTTGTTTTAGGTTGGGTCTTGTGCCAGGTGCTAGGAATACAAAAATAAGTGAAAAAAGCACCCTAATCTCAGGGGACTCGCAGGCTATTTGGTGACAGGGAGAAGAGAGTAGATAGAAAACAACGAATACTGTGATAAAGCCACTGGATTTGTAGAGTACTTTGCACTGAAGAAGGTTTAACAATGACTCACGAAAACAATTGGAAAGGCTTTGGAGGAGGACGAAAGTTTGGAGGAAAAAAAATGAGTTCTTGAGCCATATGATAAAGAGGAATGAGGGAAGGTACAGTGAGAATAGCATGTGAAAAAGCACAATGCATCTGGGGGTAAAGAAGGAAGTTTTCATGGACCTTGATTATATTTCGAGAATCATAGAATATGCATATGAAAGTAGTATATTATGACCAGACCATGACATTCTTTGTTCTGCTAAGAAGTGTGAAGCATGTTCTTTAGACCAGTGTTTCTTCAAACATTTTGTGCAGTAAAAAACCCATTTTATGTTATAACTCAGTGTACCATTTTTGGGAGAGACCATCCTCCTTGGGCCTTGCACTCCTACATGTCTTGTTGGGTGTGCCAACATTGCAAGGGCATAGCAGCTCTTACTCAGGCCACTTTTTATTGTCATGCAGCTAGTAACCTTGAAAGATGAGGTGACATCTCTTGGACTAAGAGTAGGTTAGCTTCCTTGCTTACTTACTACTGTCTGGTATTCTTTTGGAAAGTTCTGTTCAATTTTTTTACATGTTTATAGGAATTATTTACATATTCTGAATATGAGCTCTTTTCATAGGGGATGCAAATATTATCTCCATCTTTATAGCTTACCTTTTATTCTCTTAATGGTGTCTTTTGATGAATATAAGTTTAATTTTAATATAGTCAAATTTATCAGTCTTTTTCTTTCGTGTGTGTCTTTTGAATAATTCTTTCTCTCCCTTAAGATCAAGAAGATAATCTCGACCATTCTAAAAAGTTTTCTAATTTGCTTTCTCATTTGTATCTGTAATCCATTTGAAATTTATTTTTCTGCCTGAGTGAGGTAAAGTCTAATTTCATTCTTTTCCCATATGGATATTCTTTTCATCCTTCATCACTTATGGGAATGCCTGTTATTTCCCACTGTTCTACAGTGCCAATTTGTCATTAATTAATTTTCCAAAAATGCATGGATCTGTTTCTAGTTTCTCTGTTACGTTCCATTGCTTTATTTGGCCCTGCCTGCATCAATATGAGATTTTCATAATTATTGTAGCTTTACATTGTTCTGGTATCCGGTGGAGCAAATCATCCTACTTGAAGAGTCAGACTCCGTGCCAAATTTTATGTGTCATTTTTCAGGCCCAACCGTAGGCAGTTACAAAGTCCGTACACCTCATGAAGGAAAGCTGCGCTTCCCATGCCAGACTTGGGGCACAGCCAATGCATTGCAGTCTCTGAAGAAAGTTGCAGTCAAGGACCCAGACCCCCAGCCCAGCCATGCTGTTAGGCATATCTGCATACCAAACACTTCTATTTGGAGGTCTGTTTATTGGTGGCCTCCTCTAAACAATTCTGAGACCTTTTTACTGGGATCAGGAACCTTGATGCCACTTGTCTTCACTTTCAACATTTAGTACTTTTCCACTCCTAGCAATTTTCACTCTTTCTCCTACCAGCCCTTAGGCCCATAAAATGGATGGAGCCTTTTATTCAGGTTTGTCTTAGTAGTGAGATGATCCCCATATTTGGCTGATTCTTTTGACGCTTGCTTGACTCTGTTCCATGGGTAAGAATGTAACACTGCAGGAGCCAGCACTTTTTCCTGCTGAGCCTCTTGCTAATGCTACTGCTGATCGAAGGCTTGACTGATACCTTATCGTTTTGGCATGTTTTCACTGACCACCACAACACTTGACAGCTCAGTTCTTTCTTCATCAGCTTAGTTCTTAACACCACCTTCTTCTCCTGCTTCAAAAGTGTCTTGGCTGTTCCTGGTTCTTTGCATTTACATATAAATTTTAGAATCAGCTGTCAAATTTGACCCACTCCCTTCTAAAAAATTATTGGGATTTTGATTGAGAGTGTATTGAATCTATAGATTAATGGGGAGAATCAACATTCTTGCATGAATTTTCTAATTCATGAACATGGTATAGCATTCCATTTCTTTAGGGTCTTAATTTTTCCCAATAATATTTTATGGTTTTCTGTGTTGGTCTTAATGATCTGTATTAGATTTATCTCTAGACATTTGACATTGCTTCCATGTAATTGTTAGTAGTGTCATTTTTTAAAATTTACTTTCTGTTTACAGAGACTTAGCATTGATTTTTATATATTGACTTTGTAGCCAGCATTCTAACAACATACAGATATTTTTGGTCTTTACATATACCATTTGCAAATAATGACAGTTGTATTTCTTCCTTTCAAATTTTTATACTTTTTTTCCCCCTTATTACATTAGTATGACCTCTACTACCATGATAAAAAGAAGTGGTAATAGTTGGCATCGTTGTCTGGAAGGCCTGCTGTGACCTCACCTGTAGGTTCCTTTCTCCAGTGACTCATCTTGAGATTACCCTTCTCTCATACCTCCAACATTTTTGAAACTTGGATATTCCAAGCCTTTGCTAAGCATTCACTTCTTTGGATACACTCAGCAGAAGAGAAATAGAAGGCTGCCAACCTCTTAGACTCAAACGAAATCATTTTCCCATTTGTTACCCTCAGAAATTGGCTCTTCCCGTCCACAGGTTCCACATCCATGGATTCAACTGTGTATTGTCAGTAGTCAGAAATAATAATAATTAAATAAATAAATAGTTATCTTGATCCTGATCTTCACAACCTGCCTTGCCTAAAAATTTAACATTTTTCACACTACCTGTATGCGAGCTAACCAGCACTAGCTGAGAAGGGTTTCACATTTTCTTGACTCTGTTTAACCTGCACAAAAACAAGACTTTAGAACAAGTCTTACTTGGTGGTTGCAGAGTTCATTAAAATATTTTAGGTTGAGCTCCACTGGTAGCTGATTTCTAAAATAATAGAACATTTTAAAAATATAGTATAGCAACTATTTACATAGCATTTTCATTAAATTAGGTATGATCAGTAACCTTGAGATGATTTAAAAGTATATAGGAGGATGTGTGTAGTTATATGTAAATACCATGTTATTTTATATAAGGGACTTGTGCATGCTGAGGTGTCCTGGAACCAGTCCCCAACAGATACCGAGGAACGACTATATATAGTCAGTTCACATTACTTGCCGTTGGTTGGGTCCTATAATGTTACCACAAACACTGAATTAATGAGTACTGAACTGTTGTTCCTAGAGTTAATGGGGGGTTAAATTCCTGTGAGCCTGTACTCATAATATTTTCATCAATCCATATATCATTTGCATTGTAAACATTTGTTCGCCAACATGCTTGTGAAATAAACCAGTCCCATCAGGGTTTGAAAGCAGCTCTTCCTTGGCTGAGCAGGTAGGTGGCTTACACCTGTAATTCCAGCACATTGGGAGGACAGGGCAGGAGGATCACAAGCCCAGAAGTTTGAGACCACCCTAGGCAACATAACAAGACCCTGTCTCTCTAAAAATAAAAAATAAGAATAAATAAGGAAAGCAGCTCTTCCACATAACCCTTTTCTGTATAATACTACACAGGTGTTTAAAAAATATTCCATAGCCTTCTAATCTTTAGAACCTGTCTTGCCTGCAACTTTAACATTTTCCACACACACCCTTTTAACATTTTCCACAGTATGAGAGACAGCCAGCACTAACTTAGATGGCTGTCACATGTTCTTGGTTTTTTTCTTTAATTAGTTGTCATCTCATGAATTCTCAATTTTTTTTTCTTTTTTTTGAGATGGAGTTTCACTCTTGTTGCCCAGGCTAGAGTGCAATGGCGCAATATTGGCTCACCGCAACCTCCGCCTCCCTGGTTCAAGTGATTCTCCTGCCTCAACCTCCTGAGTAGCTGGGATTACAGGCATGCGCCACCATGCCTGGCTTTTTCTTAGCTTCATCCCACACTGTAGCTGTGGCTTTTTAGCACTTTCCCTAGTGACCTCATGTACAGATGACCAAATTTTCTCTTCCTTTTTCTGGATGTACTGAATTGTTGAATCATTAACATTGTATTTATAGCCAATAGCACTATCACTCATGCATGAATGAAGCTTATCTAACACACCTATTTTCTCTGTAAGGCACATAACAGTCTTGTTGCACTTAGGAACACTAGACAGCACTTCACCACTATATTTGGGTACCATTTTAAACAAAAATTACCCCCAAAACGGGGAACTAGTTATGCCCCAAAAGGAAACTTGTTGATGAGAGCTAAAACAAAGGCAGAGTGTCCCCTTGTTTGAACTCTTCAGATGGTATTAGTTTCATAGGGTTGCCATAGTAGATTACCACAAACTTGGTGGCATGAAACAACAGAAATTTATTTTCACACTGCTCTGGAGGCCAAAAGTCCAAATTAAGTTGTTGGCAGGGCTGCACTCCATCTGAAAGCTCTAGGGTACTTCCTGGCCTCTTCCAGATTCTAGGAATCCTAGGCTTGTAGCCACATCACTCAAATCTCAGCCTTTGTATTCACACAGCTTTTGTCTACTCTCTGTCTTCTCCTTTCCTATCTCTTACAGGGATCCTTGTCACTGGATTTAGGGCCCACCTGGATATTCCAGGCTGATCTTTTCTTGAGATCATAAACTTAGTAATTATCTGCCAAGACCCTTTTTTCAAATAAGGTCACATTCACAGATTCCAGGGGTTAGGACATAGACATAACTTTTTGGGGGCCACCACTCAACCTACTGCAGATGATAAATTTTTCTCTTCTCAGAAA